GTTAGGTCCAAAGAAAGGCTTACTCAAAAAAATAAAGCTCTTTTACAGGTTGTTTTTGAAACAGTAAAAAAAGAAAACTTTATTTATATGTACTGACACCACCCTCAGAGTTCAAACAATCAATGTTCAGATTCAAATAACAATGGCATCTATTAATAAAAAGAAAAAAAGGAGTGGCTCCTTTGGAAATGTTTAACTGCAGAACCTGAGTAGCCCCAAAGTTCCAGGAATGGCAGCTAATTTATAATAACCCCCCCAAAAAGTTCCTATTGGGAATCTTATACATCTTCAAAATGAAAAAAATTTGGATGTGGCAATAGGGAACTCAATATTCAGTTACCACAAGAAGCGGACATGAGAAGTGTCTTGGCTAGAAGGGAGACTTCTTCTGAATTTCTTCTACTGTATGTTAGTTTGCATTTCCTCCTTGCCATCTTAGAAAGGTTTACTTTGAGTTCTTTTCCTAATAGAAATAAATGCAATACAGACATTCATTTTTCTTTGTGTTTGGTTTCTTACCTGGATATTATTAAATTATTCATTCCTAGTTTTAAAAAGTGACATGCATGAGACTCTCTAGGCCCACAAGTTTCTCCATTCAGCCAATGTATTTCTTTCCTGCCCTAAAGTGAAAGATTACATCAGCTTCTGCCTCTATTCAATCCACAGTTTCCCCTTACCTACCCAAAACATGTCCATTTCTAAAAAGGAGATAAATTAGAAATGGAGTATTGTGTGGGTGGCAAATATCCCTAAACATTTATTCCTCTATTTTGAAATATTTGTTTTGGTTTTCAGATTTAATTAGCATAAATTTGCTCTTTTACACACATGCACACACAATTATATTACTATATATTTAAATAATAATAATCCAGATATATCAGAGTCAAATCCAAAAAGGGTTACTTTGGATGGGTGGTTTTATCTATCCAAAAAGGGCCATTTTATAATATTTAGAGTCTTGTTTTCTAAGTGATGCTCTGAAGAAAGTTTGCCTGTTAAGTTGGTGAGTTTCATTTTTTATTGTTGTAAAAATAAATGTAGAAAAAGAACCACAGACTATAACATTATTACTGAGATGATAAGTGTACAAGAGTCAGGAATTTAAAAGGTATTATTATTCTTACAGCTTTGCATGTAACCTTTGCTCTTATAATTGACTCCATAGTTTAAGATTTACAGTACTATATGTGCACTGTGGGAACCAGAACTTTGAATTTCATCAAAATTAGCACAGATTTCAAAACCTGTGTGAACTTCATCACTTTGTCCAAAGATATTAGAAAAAAAAGGTGTGGAATATTGGAAATAAAAAACCCAGTGCATGTGTTTGTATAGCCAAGCTACATTAAGTTGCATGGAATTTTCATCACCACATCACAGGATGTAAGAAGTCTGAAACAACACCTGCTAGTGTGAAGAGAAAGTGAAATCAGGATATTATTAAGGGTCCTAAAAAGAGTATGCAAATGCCTACCAAAAAGAAGTGCTCAACTGTTTCACTTATTGTTTATCATTTGCTCCATGCCTGGCAATATACATGTTTTTGGACTCTGCCACTAGCTAGGTTTGGAAATGTAAAGTCCAACTGCTTTGGTTATTGTATTGCAAAAGCCAATTGCTCACTTTCCCTCCCCCATACAGAAAAACATATACAGTGATAGTTCAGATGTACGTTAGCCATTCCCACAACATAAAATAGTTTCAGAACTGGGTAGAGCTCAAACATGACAGCTTCCCTGAAAACTCATTTTAAAGGAAAGTTATAAAGCACTGAAGCTACAGGTTTAAAATGAAGGTGCTTAGCTATAATTTCAGTGCATATGCTGGGAAGGTGAGTGAATAGAACAGCAGTCCATCTTCTTTTACCATCTTGCTGTGATTGGGTCCCACGCAGTCTATAAGAGCTAAAAAATATCTTGCCCATGAAACTGCTCTTCATCCCAATTTTGTTTCCTAGTCCTGATGAAGGGTCAAGTTCTCAGAAGTCTGCTATTTTTACTAATTAGTCCAACAGAGAACTTACCTTCCCTCTGTATTTGTTTTAGTTTTGTGGCAGCCTTGATAGTACAGATATACAAGAGAAGCAAGATTTATACACCGAGGTATCTGTCTTACTGGAACCAGCTGCACAGTTGAGAGAGATAGGGAACAACCTTTTAGATTTTAAGCAGCCTTTCTTAGATCTGGAAAAGGAGGAGCCACAGTCCAAATTAAAAACAAGTTAGAACAGTTATTTTAGTTTAACTTAGTTGTGTTAATAAATTCTCACTTGAAAGGGAAGTAGAGTTTTCTTATGTTATCACTTCTGAGATGCCTGGTTTTCTCCTTTTCTCATGAGAATCAGTTACACAGAAGCAGTATTAATGCCAGAGGGTCTCTCCTTTCTAAAGAGAAACAGCACATCTCCCAGTAAGTTAAGAGCAGGCCCTGGGTAGGGAGTGTTAAAACCCTAAATGACCAATACAATGGTTGGTCTACAGCTATAGAACAGGGCATCAGAGAGAAGACACTATTCTTGAAGAATATTTCTTTAACTCAGCTTCCCTATTTCAAGTTCCATGAAATACTACATAGCCGGAGCTCCCCACACCTCACCCCCCCAAAAAAAAGAATGAAGCAAAGCATGTATGATAAAGTGTTATTCACATTTAATGGTCCAAGTCAACCTAGGCACTAGAAGTTTAAGGGATCAGTTGAGAGAAGAAACAATTTCATTTATTTTGAATAAATAAATCTTTTAGGTACCTTTTGCTTTGTCTATTAACAAACCCTTCTCTTTATCAGTATGTCCTTGATTTCCTTTGGATTGACTTCTTTACCTTCAATAGTTCTCTTTCCCCTAAACTTTTTATAACCCTCTTGTTCCTTACCATGGAAGTCTTTGGTATAACCCTATTAAATTACATCTACTGACTAAATTCTTTCAATGCTTTTTAAGGTGCCAGAGTAGCACAGGTGTCTTAAATATAGTCCTAAATATCAATATAGTGATTTAAATTCCACATGAGGACTTCCCTCTGTAAGGGAAAAATATTTCAAAGTAGTTGTGTTTACAGTGATTATTGCTCAACTGTTACCATTTCATAACAATGCATTTATCAAATACAGATCTTTAGATGGGTACTTCCCTTTTTCATGCCCTTGTAGCAAGATATTTAGCAGAATTTGCACATTCTGACAGGACCACACCATGAGTACTTCTGGGATGGCCTCAAACCTACAACTTCGGGGCTGTCAGTTGTATGCCTTAGCACCTGCCACCCTAGCCCTAGAAGCTACTTGACAGTATTAGTGTGTTATGAGTAAAGTTACAGAGGTGGGGGTTGTTTGTGCATAAAGTCAAAAAGGGAAATAGTCTTTTAAGTCCAAAACTTTGTGGATACCTTGATTATTTGATTATTTTATGTATACAATCTAATAGCTCTGCTGTCCTAGGAAGTTAAGAAGCTAACTGAAAATTAATTAGCATGTTTACCAGTCTGACGTAAGTAAACTAGCTTTGAAAAAACATGGACTTGAAATGTTAATTGCTCTGAGCCCTCTTTACACTATCATATGATCTCAGTTTCTAAGTACAGTCTACCCTCTCAACAAATGGGAGAACTTTAAAAATGCATTTAAAAGTCACCTCCGTATAACAAACAAGTGAAATGTGGCAAAAGTTTCCGGTTTGATTTATTCCCTATGCAGCAATTGCCCTATTTTTACTTTATCAAAACCCAACATGTTTTAATGTCCTCTTGTGTATGCTATTTATTTTAACCCACAATCATTTTATTAAGCTGCACACCTGCATTCGCTCTGTCCTCAAATCGCCTTAGTCTAGCGTTTAGCCTACATTGCATAGACTGACATAGCGATGGCAGCAATTCCCTTATGTTGGACATTAAATAGCAGTAGTTATTTCTAGGCAGAAACCTTCATAGGCTCTGAATCTCCAAATTAGCTCATGCAGCCAGGTCTCAGTGGCTGATATGGAGCAGTCTGCAAAATTAGGGATTGATAGTGCCTCAGAGAACACCTTGGATGCATGTCATTCACATTCTAAGATGAATAGAAGAATTTTATATTTATGCAAATATATGTAGTACCCATTACTGAAAAGCAGAAGAAGCAACCTCAAGTGAAAAACAGCTGAAAACTGTTTTCAAAGCTGCACTAAGCCCTGAGGGCACAAGGGAATCAGGAGGGCCCCCTAAAAGCCATGAGGGTTTCTTAAATAATAATGGCTGAGGAGGGGGAGGGGTATTTGCCTTTTGGGCTTGTGCTTTCATGTTTGTTTCTGCTGCCAGGCAAAACATGTAAGCGCTTCAAGAAAGAAAACTCGACTTGTGCACAGCCCCATGACTCCAGGACCTGAGGCCTGAAGGGAAAATGCCCAGGCACCCTGTGCCCCACACAGCAGATGTGGTGTGCTTGTAACTCTGCCAAGCCACAGCCCTAAACACCACCCAGCACTGGCCTTTTTTGGGCAAGGCAAGCCAGCTACCGTGAAGCCCCTGTAACGCTGACTGGCCCTGGGAGCAGGAAAATGCACAGGACCTAGTTTCCTGATGAAGCCAAACTCCTCTGGGCAGAGTAAATTTCAATTGGCCTTTACACTGCCGCAATGCAACCACATCCTCCACTCATACCTTCCCCTTCCCTTCTTGCCCTTGCGTTGACACCCAGAGTGAAGCTGCTAAGCCAGCTTCAGCCCTTAACTAAGATGGCGGCACTGCCTTATCACGTGATGCCCACCCCTTAAGCCCTTAACTAACATGGCCGCGGCAAGGAGCCGCCGCCCTAACCCAGCTCAGCTTCAATTTCCTATCAGGCTTGGCGGCTGGCATGGATTCCCTTCACAAAGATGGCGCCCAATGCCGCTTCCCAAGCGGGGTAAGAGAAGCCGCTAAAGCGAAGCAGGACTACAACTCCCAGGGGCCCCTGCGCGCGCGCCGGGTTAACCGGCGCTCATGGGAGCGTGGCGTGTCGCTGCGCGGGGTGGGGCTACAACGGTGCCGGGGAAGTGGCAGGACAGAGGCTAGGGTAGCAGGCCGCGGCGGGGCCGGGCGCTGGCGGCGTCGCGGGATGAGCCCCCTCGGGGGAGCGGCATAGCGCACCCGGGGCCGGAGTGGGAGCTGTGCGCGCCGCCCGGAGGGTTCCAACCCGCCTGGAGGTAATGGCCGCGGGGAGGGGCGCCGTGGAGCGTTGGGGGACGTGGGCGAGCGACATCGCTTGTATACACGTCACACACCTTGTAAACACGTCACGTGCCAACACACACGTCACACACACCTTGTAAACACACACATGATGTGAACAGGTCACTTGTCAGCACACACGATTTACTAACAAGCCCCTGGAGTGCTGTCTGCCGCCTTTGGAAACCTCCCTGGCCCTAGATCCCACAGCTTCAGGGAGGCCCCCAGCCAGACTGGCTAGTTGCTACCCTGGCATCTGGAGCAGGGAAGGCTGGATCTTTGATGCCTTGCAAATCTCCCTGTAACTAAAGATGTTTCTGCACGTGCCGCAGCTTTATACCATTGCTCCTGTCCTGCTGAAGTTTCATGCCCTCAAAACAGGAGCCTCTTCTTGGGAAATGTTGGTGCTGATCCTTTAATTTTTTTACCGCTTGTAGCTCGCTTCTAGTTTTTGTTTCATTTTGTGTTAAGGGCTTTTTTTGGTGTATAAAGTATGTATCCAAATGTATTGTTGCAGACCAGTAGGTAAGTAGAAAAGGGGATTAAAAACCCAAATGGGTGGGAATGACCTGTCTAAAATTATTCTAACTGGAAAGAAGTCACTTGAGAGATGAAAGCGACTACATTTCTGTAATTGTCAGCTTCTTGAAAAGAAAGCATGCTGTTTTGGCAGGATTTTCAGACCTTGTAATCGCTGCAGGTTATATTATAGCTGTCAATAAACGCTATGAAGAAAAGCAAAAAGTACAGCTCATCCCTCCCCCTCCGTCCCAATTATCTGGTCCCTTCTTTGGGCTATAATTTGGAAGCTAAGCTTTGTAATCTTTTACTTAGGAGAACGTAAACCATTTTGTGGCAAGAGCAAAACATGTTATGATGTAACCAAGGGTGGGCAAAATGGCAGATCTGGATGGTGGATCCCTGCCTGGGGCGTGCAGGGAGCAGATCACAATCCAGACCACAATGTCACTGTTGCAGGATCCCAGTCCCAGAGCAGCTCCCTGCCCAGCTGCGCACCCTGCCAGTGCTGCTGGGGCCAGTCTCCGTGGAAACCTTGGCCCTGCCCTGCTGTTCCTGGGGTCTCCATGGAAACTGGCTGCAGCAATGTAGGCTGGGGCTGCTGGGAAATGAAGTCCACTGCGGCCCGATCTAACCCATGAGCCAGACTTTGCCCACCCTGATGTAAACCTACTTCCAAAAGCATTGTACTCCACTTACCTGCCAGCTAAGTGCATGATTTGCTTAACTGCCTAACACTTGCCCGTCCCTGTATCTCACTTACTGCTTCCACTGTAATAAATTCCAGTCATTTGCATGTTAATTAGATACATAAACTGGTTAAGTGTATAGCATCTTTCAGCCCCAATTTCTAGCTACCGTAATCCTGTTCCAAGTAACTGCACGTTAAGTGCTGTGTGTACTTTGTAACTAAATGAACTCTGTTTAAATTACCCCCAAAAATAGTGACTGGGAAGCAGCTATCAAAGGGGTACCTTTAGAAGGCTTGAAAGTGAGGAGAGCTGGTCAGCTCGGGCTGTCTGCTTGTATGGAGTATACTATACCTTAAGGGGTGACTTCCTCCTCTGCAGGAAACTTCTTTGTTGATGTGTAGTAAGGAACCTGTATAGAGAGGATCTCATCCTAAGCATACTGACATGTTTCACCTGCCTGCTGGACTCTTGTTGTGCATGTACTGAATATAAAGCTGTGACCAAATCTGAAAAAAATTACCATAAACTAACCTGTTAGTCTACAATTTTTTTCTTGAAGTAGGTCAGCTATGCACATTCCAACTAAAGCATAAAGGGAAAGGCGTTAACTCTTTGACTTCTAAAAATCACATTCTTTTATCCTGTGCATATGACCTTTTAGGTGGAACCTAAAGGGCAAATATTATCCCCCATTATGTTTGTGTGAGTTGATGCATGAAAAACTAGTATTTCTTAATAAATTATGACCAGTACCTTGGGGCCAGTCATGCCTGCAGACTGTATTCTACACTCTTGTTCTGTAGTCTTAGTTACTTAAAAGCACACTGTTTTCTATTTAACAATATATTCCTTTTTTTTTCTTGTTTAATAGACACTCCATGCTGTTCCATTGCATGCAGAGGCTAGGCAGAGACTGGGTTGCCCACTGTGGTGTATCTCAAAGATTTTGCTGCAACAGTCAAATTTCCAGTTGTAGGAGGTGGATTGGACACTGTACTTGGGCTCCTTATCCATTTCTCGGTACAGGGCACTTCTCAGCGAATTGGAGTCTGCCTCCATTTTTTGAGCCTTGGAGACCGCACCACAACTGGCACTGGCAACCCAGTAACTTCACACAGAGCTCTCTGCTTCATATTTCTCATCCCAACATGAAATCTGAGGGGGATGAACCTTCTTCAAAAAGGAGAAGACATAGTGGTGAGAGTTTTTCAAGTCCTGATGAAGAAACAAGCATCTCTAAACAAAATGAAGCTACAGGGCAAGTTACAGCACCTGAAACTGAAGGGAGTCTTGCAAAGGAGAAAGGTGAAGGCAGCTTTTGATATTTTTCTAATTTTGTTCCTAACATTTAACACTGTTTAACAAGCCATAAGGTGCTGTCACCTTGTGTTGTGTGCGTGCATGCTGGCAACCACGCTAGAAAAGTGTCACACTAGGACAGGTATTGAAATGGCAAATATTGTATTTGGTCAGTCTAAATTTTCTGGCGTCAAAACCAGAATCTTCCAAACAGATCTGAGCTTGCTCCGCTTGCCAGCAGAAACTTGTCTTTCTCAGTGTAACTCTTGTTTTCTGCCTTCCCCCCCAAGTGACACCCTCAGGTGGACATACTTGATTGTTGCCCTCTATTTTTCTAGCCATCATTTCAGCAAATCTCTGTGCCCAAAAAGATAAGTTGTGGTAACCTGTTCTGTCTTTCCCTTTGAACTCCTTTCAGATAATAGTCTGTGCTTAATGACACCAGGAGAAACCAGTGGTAACTACTGTCAGGCTTCAGTCTAACTTCTTATAGGCCTCAATTTGGTAGACATTAACAATTTAAAAAGCAACAGAAAATTAGGTTATGTTGTACATAGGGGAGTCGTGTCTGGAGGTATCATTTCTCTCTCGTCTTGCTCTGAGGTCCAAAACCCTAGCTCCATTGGGTTTCTTCACAGGCTACGGGGGGGAAACCATTGTTTCAGTGGGGTCCTCTCACTACACCCTAATAGCAAATACTCAGTGATGTAGGCCTGACACTGCCTTGCCGGAGGGAAGTAGAAGTAACAGAGTCCTCATTTATTGTTTTGCTCACACCCTGCAAGAGAAAGGCAATGATAGAATCTTTTTCATTGTCTCACACATCCTCGCGTTCTCTTCTACAAGAGGAGCAGGGTAGCATCAGCTCAAGTGTTAATGCTATTTTGAGCCTTGTGTTGATTAAGAAAGAAAACATAATTCACAGAATCCTTCATTACTTTAAGTGCAGTGACAGAATTATCTCCCTGCCCATCCCAGAAGATTTTCTTTCCAGGTAAAGTAGATTAACCTAAATATAATTAAACAGTGGAAAGGAACTACTTAACAGCAGTATGTCACCAGTGCATAGCATAGGTAGTTAAATTCCAGCTTCCTTTTACAGAAGTAAGAGGCATAGAGAAAACATTGACCTTGGGTTACCTTATGCACACTGGGTCAAAATAGATTTACAACTCAAAAGCAGTTGAACTGTAATTCAATAACTAGTCAATGTTTTGTGGACATGCTCTTTCTCTGACCAAGCCCCTTAGATAAGGAATTAAGCTTTTTGACTGCCTCTCTTTCATCAGCTGTTCTTTTAATATGTTATGTATTGCAGGGAAGTAAAACGCATCAAATCCGTATGGTAAATCCGTACGGGTGTAACTCCAAATTTCAAAGCAGATGAAAGCTTTCTGAGGGCATTTATACACATACCTTTTAGTTCTCAGGTGCGTTGAAGATTCGCTGCTTCGGAGCAGACTCGATTAATCTGCTCCTTACAGGAGCAGACACACACCGTGCTGCGCCACTTGCAGTTGTATAAGTGGCAAAATGCGCATCAGTGCAGAGAAAATGGTGGCAGTGCACTTTTGAACTAAAGCACCTCTAAGGTATTTTTGTTCAGAAAGTGCCCCACCACTGCTTTCTTCGCACTGATATGCATTTCGCTGGTTATACAACCGTAAGCATCGCAGCGCCAGGTGCTTTTCAAAGCACCCAGCAGTGCGACTCTTACACACGTAAAAATGCCCTCTGTGTCCCAAGTGCCTTAACTCCCCAGGTCACTAATAAACTCTTTGAATAACATACATGTCAAACTGACCATGAGGGGTTCCATAGGACATGAGGTTTCTCTAACCTCAGAGAAGTCTGAAATGTGGAGTGCACAGTGACTACAAGCTTTGCAATTCATGTTGATGAAGCTTAACCTCAGTCTTGAATGGAAGGTCTGAAATATTTCGAAACATGCCAGATACCAACTTGGCTATAAGTTTCCTTAGACAAATTGAGCTAAACTGAATAATTTCTTAGGTACAGTCGTAGAACAGAAGTTAACAACACATTACATAATTTTATTTTGCTGCTTAATATTTTAACAGGAATGATCAAGAGACACTGGGAGTATTTCTGTCACCGTAAAAAAAAGATTCTTGAAGATCAGGAAATTGACCAAAACAATACAGAAAATGAGTTTGATTTTACAGTGATGTCCTACAATATCCTTTCACAGAATTTATTAGACGATAACTCCCACCTGTATAAACACTGCAGATGGCCAGTATTAATCTGGGGTTATAGATTTCCCAACATTCTACAGGAAATCAAAGAACTGGATGCGGATGTAAGTGAAAAACAACACCAGTATTGCTGGGAAAATATGCACTAATGAGTAGTAAGTCCTTGCAGATTTGACTTTTATGTGATCTAGTGAGTGTACTGTGTAGTAAATTCAGCTGTTGTTTTGAGTTGTAGCAAAATACTTTATTATTAGTTCTAGTTCATGTTTACCATAGTAATGCTTTCTGGGTGATCTAAGCATGAGACCATGCAAGAGGTCACCATTGTTTTACATGCATACTTCTGAAGCTGTCTCTGAGCACTTTCTAACTAAATTTCAGGGCTAGTACTTCATTTTCAGTTTCTTTAACCTGTAAGCTGCTTTTGATATTCAAACTCTTCCTCATTATCCCATCATACCTTCCATGACACTTTCCCTTCCTATCTTTCATATTAAATGTTAAAATTATAAAGACAAGTGCTCCAGAGTTAGGAAATGCCAAGATTAAGTTTGCTGTTGCAACATTAATTCATCCTCTTTGTGCTTCTGAATTAAGACACAGTTCCTAATTGCATGATCACATGCATTCCCCCATCTACCACCCATAGGATCTCTGCCCCATTCAGTGCATAGGATGGGCTTCCACTGGGGTTGAAGAAGGGTTCTGTACCAAAGGATGCTGCTGTCTGTAGGCTGTTTTGCCTCATTTGTTGCAGAAGGTAGAAGGTGTGTGGTGTGTAATACATGTGTAAGGTACAGAATTAGAGGTAGAGAAAGCAGAGTGTAATGGTTAAAGCTGTTAGATGCTGCTCTGGAGAACTAGGTGCCTTCTCTGATGTAGGGTTTCTATGCAACGTCATTTTTATTTTCTTTTTTTTCCCCCACAACAAACCTTTTTTTCTCTCCCCCCATCCCAAACTCTTGAATGTTCTACTTGAAACCCTAGGTTCTGGTTTGTGAAACTGCTGAATAGAGCTAGCTAGGGAAACTTCCGTCTCTAGCTTTTGAGATTACAGAAACCCTTCTGTCCCATTTTGGAGTAAATTGAGTTCATCCCAGTGTTTTTAACAAAAATGAGAGGAATGACTCCCCTGCAGCATTAGAACATACAGCCTGATATAATGCATATCTGGCATTATTTTATTCCCTGCTTTGCATCAAGGTGAGTGCCATTGCCAGCAGGCTGTTAGCTGTTCTGGGGTGGTCTTTCCTGTTGGAGCTGTTCCATTTTACATAAATTAACTGTTCATTGGGCCAGAGACAGAGAGAGACTTTTATAATCCAGTGGTTAGAGCACTTGCTTGGGATATACGAGATACAGGGACTAAAACCAAGGTCTTCCACTTTTCAGATGAATGCTGTGACCACTGGGTTATTGAATGATTGGGTGCATCTCTGTTTCTGACTCCATTGTAGGCCTGAAAAATGCTCCAGTAAAATGTTTCAGTTCTAACAGATTGGTTAACTAACTAAAAGGTTTCAGCCAGAAATCCTGAGCATTCAGGTGCAACTGAAGTCTTTAGGAGCTCAGCATATAAAGTGTTATATAATGCTAAATATGTTGAAAAATCATGTCCTTTTAAGAGCCATCCAGAACTAGTGGATGCTTTTGACATAAATATTTATGCCTTGGTTCCCCATTTTATAAAATAAGGTAACAGTACCTCCCTAACTTGCAAAGGAGTGGTGAAGCTTGATGTTTATGAAGTGCTTTGATAAAATGAAGTGCATTACCAGGAAAATAATAATTCTAACCTCAGAGTAGGTTTGAATATTAGTTAACGTGTTTGAGCCCCATGTTTTATATTGAAGAGAAAACAGTACAGGTATATTGATTAGCTGTTCATTTATTGGGCATCAGCTATCCTATGCAGTGTATGAGGCAGGGGAAAAAACATTATTTCATTGTGTAATTACAAGCTGTATCAGGATGCATTAAGAGGTGTTAAATTTAAGGTTGCATAGGAACCTAACTCCTATGCAACCTTATTCAAGTTCTTTGAATTCAATTTCATGTGTGTTTATAGATAGTAAAAATATAATGCATTTCAGGCTGTAGAATGAATATTGGGGCCCCACCGTGAAGCTTTGTTTCTACTTTAGAGCCCTTTCTTCAAATGGTCGGTCAAGCAGCTATACCCCTCTGGAGCCTTCCTTTAGAAGGCAACAAGTTTTGCCCTTACATTTACTATGCTGATTTTAATCAGCTTCTAAATAAAGGGTGGACAAATTGGTGCATCGAGCCAGCAGCCTGACTCTATTTCCCAGCGTCCCCTGCCCGTGTGACTGGAGCCAGTTTCCATGAAGACCCCAGTAGCAGCCATGCTGTGCTAGCGTGAGACTGGGGCTTCCATGGAGACAAGCCGCAGCAGCGCTGACAGGGTGCATAGCAGGGCATGGAGCAGCTCTGGAGCCAGGCTGGGAGCTTGAAGCAGTGACAGTGTGGTCCAGAGCCAGGGCAGAGCTGTGATCTGTAGCCTGCATGCCCTGGACAGAGACGTGCAGGCAGCTGATTGCAGCTCTGCCCCGGCTCCTTGCAGCAGTGACGGTGGTCCAAAGCTTAGGAGGAGGTTTGGGGGGGTATAGCTACCCCTCCCAGTGGCGCTGCCACCACTGAAGCTGCCTGCCCTGCACAGGTGGCAGCGGTTGAGCCTGCCCTATTCTCAACTGTAGCACAGCACCCCTTCAAGCTCCACCACCAGGAAAAGGATGGCACCACTGCTGCCTGCCAGCATTGCTGGGGCTGGTCTCCACGGAAACCCCGGCCCCATGCTGTCACAGCCGGGCTGCTGCTGGGGTCTCCATGGGAACCAGCCCCAGCTATGCAGGCAGGGGCTGCTGAGAAATGGAGTCCACTGCCAGATGGATCCAGCCCACAGGCTGGACTTTGCCCACCTCTCTCCTAAATTATAAACCTGAGACCAATTGTAGTACTATAATATATAGGCTTCTAGGCTTCACACTCACCATGGCGAAGTACTGGGTCCTTCTGCAGTGAGAGAAAGGTGGTTGTTTACAATATAAGTGTCTTTCACATGACACTGATATCTTGTCATTACAATAGCTATTTCTCCTAGCGTTCTCTTCTTCCCACTCCAAGTTGCTCTACAGTAACTGAGGTGCAAGTAATTTTTGCTACCTCCTATCCCAGAAGCAGTGGGCGGTTTTGAGCTGCAACTTACAGCCTGAAAAAATGTACATTGCCTGTGAGAAGTGGGAAACTTTCTGGTAAGCAGCCTGGCCTACAGAATCTAAGTGTAAACTTTACTAGCCTTGTGCTAGTGGCAATAATAACCTTAATGTAGGAGGCATATAAACCTACATGGTGCTTTCTTCAGGCTTTGGTAAAGAGCTTCAGAGTGTCTGTTCCTGGAATTGTCAAGCTGAGTTCCTTGAATTTATTCACATATGCAGATGTTTACTGGGTTGGGGGTTAAGTGCTGATTTGTTTTCAGTAAGACTGTGACTTCCCAACAAGTCATCTCTATTTAAATGTTAGATCCTTGTCATCTATATTTTGTAACTTAGTCATTTAATAAGTCTTCATGACAGGTAAAAAAAAATCCCCCAAAACCCAGAAATTATACATATTTCAGTAATGATTTTGTTTTCCCCTTAAGGTAAACATTCCTAACAATGCTAAGTTTTTATGTAGCAGAGTAAACTTTTCTATGGAACTATTTATGGAGGTTAAAAACCTAAATTTATGGGAATATTGTAGACTTGCCAGTTAACAAGTCAGCCTTTATTAAAATATTTTTTTGTTAATATATTTAAATTCAAATAGGACAAACTCTTTTTTCAGGTACTTTGTTTACAAGAAGTTCAAGAAGACCATTATAGAACACAAATCAAGTCAAGTTTGGAATCCTTGGGTATGGTGAAATGTTTTTGCCCCACTTCTTTGCTTCCTCCTCATTAGGAATGAAGAAACATAGGACTAGAGGGGAGTTCCTGGGTTATACCAGGCAACTGGACTCTATTACAGGCAACCACATGACATAATCCCTTCTGTAAGCTCATCAATCTCCATCTGCCTTGAAAGCTAAGCAGAAGGCAGGGCAGAGTGGCAACTTAGAGACTATCTGGTTCAGAGGCCTACACTTTTGTAGGCAAGAGCCTACTTCATTATATGGTAAGTAGACTGCAGCCTGTGAAATCTCACACCACTCTGAACCAGTTAGTCTCTATGGGTACTTTTACACATGCGCCAGGGTGGGAGGTCAGCGCTTTAATTAGAATGGCACTAATTAAAGTGCCGCCAGGTCTCATGTATCAGCATCCCCGCACTTAAAAATGGCAGCAGGGGCACCTGAACTTAAGCTCATTCAACAATCTTTAGTTCAAGCACCCCCACCACCATTTTTAAGTGCAGGGACGCTGATACACAAGACGCAGGAAGCTGCTGAAGTGTGGTAATTGCCCTGATCCTGCAGACTCGATTAATCTAGTCTGCTCTGATGTGTTGGAATTCCAGCACATCAGAGCAGCCTCCATGCTTGTGTATAGGCACCCAAAGGTGCCATAACCCCGCCATCCTTCTGCCTGACTTCAGACTAACACAACTAACTATCTCTACCTTAAAAGCTTGTTAATTTTTAGAACCTGCTATTCCCATTGGAAGTCTGTTCCCAAGCCTCACTCCTCTGATGCCTTGAAACTTTGCTAGTTTAGTCTAAATATATTTGTCCTCATGCTAGCATTGTCTTTTAGCTTAAATACTGTATTTCCCCAAAATCAAGACCCTGAATTTAAGACAGGCCCCCAATAATTAGATACTCTATATGGAAAATGTGTAAATTTGTTATCATTTTCCAGGTATAAAATCTGATTATCAGAGGGTTGCCTTAGATTTCCCTGCTACAGCAGGTTGAGACTGTCAAAATCCCCCTTGCCCTCTGCCCCCTCCCTACTTCTTTTCCTGCAGCCTTCCTACCACCCCCACCTCTCCCCGCCACTAGTACTCTTCCATCTATGGTGTGGCAGAAGCTACAGAGGGCAAGTGGAGTGCGGGACAGATGGCTGCTGTGGCTCTGACTCTGGCCCTGACCCAGATTCAGGGCCAGAGTCAGAACCATAGCAGCTGCCTGCCTCCCCGCTCCCCTGCTTTGTATGCAGATCTGAGCTGAGAGGCTTTCCCCGCCATGCTGATTGTGGGTAACCTCATATTAAATTTGAGTAAATATGATAGTTCTCTTTCCTCTCTGGTGTTGCCTCTACCCTAAAATATGTAGAGAATATACTTGCAATAGTCCATATACCACTGGGGGAAGAGAGAGGGATTTTTTACATGGCAAAAATTGGACTATTAAGTATTACTTCAGGGCCTGCTTATGTACTCCTTATCTTAAACTTTCACATTTAAGTTCTGCCTGAATAGTGTAAAACTAGACTTGCAATTGCCTTCCCGTGCATCTTGAGCTCTGATCCTGTAGATTGCTGAGTGCCCTCAGCTTTCATTGGCTTCAGAAATAAAAGAGAGACAAACTTTAAACAATCTAGTTATTATTACATCATTGCTTTATTAAAGATGTCTGAAACAACTCCTGTGTTTTAAAGCTCTTCATATAATATTTCCTGACCTGCAAAGACCTGTCAAGTACTGTTCCTCATTGGAATACTTCAAGTAATACATCTCCAGTGTGCTCCAAAGCAGCATAACAATACTTTAAAGCACCAGTCATCTTGCATATGACTTGTCTGATGACAAAGGGAAAAAGCATAATGGCTATCTCACATTATCAGTTCAGAACTGCATATACCACAAAAGATACTGGATTAGATTTATTATTCAAATTAAACTTAAAAGAAAAAAATGTTCTGTGTCCAAATTCCTTAGCCACAAGGAAATTATTCTACAGCTGCAGCTGTAGCAGGCTTGGGTATTGATTGCTTTGGATAAAATAGAGCAGTTTTATTTTTCTTAAAATTATTTAGATTTATACAGTAGCATCTTTTGATGTTTTGAGTTATTTATCTTACAGGGTATCATTGTGAATATAAAATGAGAACAGGAAGGAAACCAGATGGCTGTGCTATTTGCTTCAAAATGTCCAAATTTGATCTGATCTCCTCAAACCCAGTAGAGTTTTTCCGCCATGATATTCCACTTTTGGACAGAGACAATGTTGGACTAGTTTTGCTTCTCCAGCCTAAATTTCACTGTAAAGCTACTGCTGCGGTCTGTGTAGCCAATACACATCTGCTGTATAATCCAAGACGAGGGGATATTAAACTGACCCAACTGGCAATGCTGCTGGCAGAGATTGCCAGTGTTGCCCATCAGAAAGATGGCAGCTTCTGTCCCATTATCATCTGTGGTGACTTCAACTCAGTTCCTGGTTCTCCACTGTACAGTTTTATAAAGGAAGGAAAGTTGAATTACGAAGGACTTGCTATAGGAAAGGTAGGTGTCCTTTTCGCCTAGCACATATCATAGTTAATGCTGATGGAAAAGCAGTATTTCCTAGTTAAGGTCACAGTTGAGTTTACAGCACTAACCCAGTTTTGACCTCCATTTTGAAGTCTACAAAGGAAACTGCCGCAACGGTAAGTTAGGTCTGGTGCCAAGTGTGTGGTTTTTTTGAGCAGTGCAACTTTTTAACTTTTGGTTTTCTGGCTCTGCCAACACAGTAGATCTTGAAAAACCATATACATTCTATTAAAAGTAAGAACCTGAACTCTGCCTCCCTCTTAATTCAGTTTGTTGTTTAAAATTATTCCCAAATGATCTGGACATTTAGAAAACATTCCTCTTCTTTCTTAAATCTTCTCCCCTACCACCTACAAAAACTTAAATTTTACAACCAGTGTATAGTCGGGCCTAAATTTTCAGCCAGGCTTAGACCAAGGTGCCTTTTTGTAGGTACTAGTTGTGCCTATCAGAATGCATCCATAATGTAGCTCATAATTCAGATGTGAGCACCGCATTAGAATTTCAAACATCTCAGGTAAAAATTGCCTCCCTGAGAAGTATATTAAAATTCTGAAAATGTGGCTTACGTATTAATAACGTTGGCTTTATTTGCACTTATAGTTGTATGCAATGCTGTGCTGCTGCGCATCATTGTTACAGAAACTTGGGACACTTTGAGGGGACACCTAATCAGATGCAGTTGTGTCCTTTATAAGAAATTATAATCATATTATAGCTGAAGTTGGGCTGTATTGAGAAGCAGTACTGTAAAACGATAAAGGTATGCTTATCAGGTGACCAAAATAGAAAATGTGTTAACGTGATGATGTGTGTTATAATATTCTGTGAGTTTAGTGTACATGTACATATACTCATTGCTTTAAACCCAGTTTACAGAAATGGGAGTGTCCTCCCTTTCTTGCTCTGAGGGCCTTATGGCTAAGGGCAAGCAAAACTCAGGGGCATCTGGACCCCAAGCCTCCAGGCTTGGGCCTACAAGTAGGATGCCCACCAAAGGTTTTGGAAACATCTGAAGCACCAGATCGGGGTGGAGAATGTTTGCCAGTAGTAGGGTCACTTATGGTTCTGGATTCTAGGATTTGGAATTAGTTTTGGCTAATTTCACCTCAGATACAAATTATATTAAAAAAAAAAAATCCCAAAAATATATACTCATTGGTGACGTGTTAAGTGGGATTTAATTCAAAGCAACAAGCATCTATGATAGGGAAAAATTTCCTGTTGGTGGTGTTAATTGCCCAGCAGAAACCAACACTTTCTTTAGCACCCGTGTTGAGTTAACTTGCTTCCAGAAGATTAAATGCCACAGTGTTGAAAGCAGTGTCAGTAATAAATGAGCTGACTTAATATTGTTAAAAACTGGTCTTGGCACTCTCTCGGCTTAATCTCACATAAATAATCATAGAAAATCTTTATGTAAAGATGATATTTTTTATTTACAGTTGCTTTATTTTTGTTTATTAGCAGAAAAAGCTTTGAGAAAGTACTATAAAAAGCATGCTTTTCTTCTATCTCTAGCAGCATGGTGGCTTTGTTTGTTTAATTGGATCATGATTGATTTTAAGAATAACAAATAAAGTTTATCTCGTGGTCTAAATCAGATCTTGTATAATACAGACATGTACATTCTTCTGTAGGTGTCTGGACAAGAACAGTTTCCTAGGGGACAAAGAATCTTATCTATTCCAATTTGGCCTCAGAGGCTGGGCATTTCTCAGAACTGTGTGTATGAAATACGACAACAGCAAAGGGAAGAACATTCAGGTAAGTGTCTGAATAGGTAAATTGATGATTCTCTGAAAATGTCATCCATATTCTCAGTTAAAAGCCAAATATTTTTTTTCCATAAAAAACATTTGGGCCCTGATACTGCAAACTTGGATTTATTGGAACCCCTCAGACAAAGTTATTCACCTGCCTCAGTATTTACTTGGAAAGATAATGTCATTTGAGATGAAAATGCAGAAGCTAGCTGGAAATATTAAAACATTACTTTTGGATATCTCTAAAACTGTCCCGCTAAAACTTCCTGTCCTTGTATCATTTAAATAAATAGTATGCCACTTGAAGGGGTATATATTAGGAAAAATATTTGGAGCTGTACAAATTCATTTGAAGGGACTCTTAGGAAACAAGCTGGAAATTTAATCTTAATGGATTATTTTCCCCGTTAAAATAAAAAATAGTATTTGAATATGTTATGCTAAACCAGGGCTGTCCAACTAGTGGCCTTCAAGCCACCCGCAGCCTCCAGACTGCTCGTCCAGGTGCTGCTTTCCCTACTGCTCTTCTACCACCCCAGACTCTCTAGGTTCTCCATCACTCCCCCAGTTTCTGCTTCCTGCTCCTGCCACCTCCAGGGGACTGGGCAGTGCAGCCTGTGTGGACGGAGGAACCAGTAGGAAGCTCAGGGACATAGGGACCTTACACGGCACAATAGGGGTTGCCTGCCACACAGTGCAGTGCAGCAGGGGAGCCCACATGGCATGGCAGGGTGCCAGCATGGGTGGAGGGGGACACAGTTTGGCATATGGCACAGGGTGTTTGGCTGGAGAGGCATGCAGCACCCAGCCACCCAGAATTTGGATAGCCCTGTGCTAGGCTACTTTCTTAACTAGTTTTCTTTAGTGATCTGACTGCCTTCATTTTGTAGCATTGATTAGAAAATCTTTTTATTTTGTAGGAGGAGAGATGAGAGAACCACAACTGGAGAACTCTCAGGAGATTGTGATAGCAGCTGAAAAGTACGTTTTGGAAAATCTTCAAGGTCAATTGAAAGATGGTTCCCCCCACACCACCAATCCAAAACCCAGGGCATGTGGTATATGACTTCAGACTTTAAAAACAGAGCATAACTAAAACTGCTGAAATGAACATGCGCATAAACAATAGAATTATTGTTCAGGAACATTTGTCAAAATGGATAGAATCTCTCCTAGATCCTCCTCTTCTCCAGTAGAAATGAGAAAAATCAAGTCAATTCAACTACCAATTCATGCAGTATGTCTCTTTTATCAAACACTGCCTAGCAAGAGGCTAGCCAAATTCCACAACTCTGTTCTGGTGGGTTAGCCCAGGAGGTACAGCATTGTTCCAGGCACTTTGATGTACACCTCCAGTTGCTCTGACAATCTAAAATTACATTTTTAATGTTTCAGAGTTCTTATATTAGTGGTCTTATTTTCTGGAGACAGCAAGCTTTTGAAAAATAAATTAATAACTTGAAAATAGAGGCCAGAAGGAAAGTAGATTCAGGATAACTATGCAGAAAACCAAAATCAACCTTCATGTAAATGTGGAAGAAGATTATCACAAATTGAATGGGATTCGAATTAAAATCTATAAAAGACCATGTTCATCCAAGGTAGCTGATGTAGATTGTTCCAAACTAAAGAGATGAGGTTACGTGAAGTAGCAAAGCTGATGAGTGAGCAGTTTCACTTCTGTTCATTAGAAGATGCTTTGACACCTGTTTACCTTTGGATGCTTCAAGTCCTGCTTGTAGTGATTTCCTCTATAGCCAAGCCATTGAATTTTAAGGCCAGCTTCAAAAATCATTCTCAAAAGTGGTAGTACTTTCCAGCTGGTTAAATGGTGGTATTTCCTCCCTTTGATCATTTTGGAGATGCCAATCCAGCATGATAGAGAAAAGAACTTGGTAGATCAAATGGGAGAGCAAGAAAGAGAATGATTATTTGCTTTTCTACCCCAAGAATTCCATAAGGCACTTGCTCTTTCTCTTACTGAAGTTAAGGAATACTAAGAATTGCATTTGTTTGTTTGTAAGAAGGTAAGGCAGAGGGGCATGTTCAGTGACTTAATAAAAAAGCTCTTTTATCTTCCAGAAAGGTTTCTTAAAATGATAAGGAAGTTGTTGCTGGGCTGGATTGGGGTGGAAAGCTGTGCAGCTGGGTTTGCATGGATGGGAGAATTGTTATGTTCATGTGCAGAAGAGCTAATCCAAATGCAGCATTTTAAGACTTAATGAAGCCTAAATTGCAATAGGCTGAAAAAATTCAAGGGAAATGAGACTAAATGAACTGAACTGAGTATAAAATAGCCTAGACCCGAGGAAGGGCACTTAATGCCCAGAAGCTTGTCCAAGAGGTCTGCCAAGTATACAGTTGATCCAGTATAAGACATCACAAAAAATCCTTGCTGTTTGCATAAAATATCCATGACCATTGGTGTCCATCAGGCAGTATAGTAGTCCTTATAGAACCAGCATGGTCATAGGTAGCCCAACATGAAAGCATTTAGTAATTCTGTACAAAAAAGCCTGGGTTTTTTTTCTGTACACTGAAGGAGGGGATAAGACTGGGGTTTAGGACCCCTCCATATTTACAGTTGCCAGGATCATTGCCTGAAATCCCAGGTGTGTTTGAAAGAGATGACGTTGATGTGTTCTGAGTGTATGTAACATCTTACAAAATGTAAATAAGGTAAATTTTTTGTGTGTGCCTAAATCTCATAGAAATGAGAGGCTCCCAAGTATCTAAGCCACTTCTGAAAATGAGTCTTGGACAACTCTGAAAAAAATTGGTCTTCAGTCCCGGCTCTTCTTATAAGTTAACCTGTCTCAGTACAAAAATGTATTAGCTATTTGTTGTGTTAAGACTCTGCAAGTACTGATTTTACTGTTTCTTTATACTACAGTTTTCTTTAGTAGCAATAATGAAGGAAAATGCTCTTGTTTAATTCCTGTTTAGGTTATCTTCAAAATTACAGCACCATTTTAAGTTGTCTTCAGTCTATTCTCATTACCTACCTGAGAGTGGGCTTCCAGAAGTAACAACCTGTCACTCGCGAAGTGCTGTCACTGTGGATTACATTTTCTATTCTGCTGCAAAGGATGATATTGCTGACCCGCCAGGTAATAAAACTCTGTTAAAGTACTAAAGCACTCCTAAAAATAATCTCCCTGCCAAAGGAAAAAGGTCAGAATATAGCACAGTTCAGTTCAGAAAAAGTATGTGTACTGATCACTTCATAAATTTAAAGTACACAGAAGATAACCTCGGTGATTTAAGGATGCCCAAACATGCTGTGCCTGGCAGGTAGAGGCTCACAGTTTTAGTATTCCATGTTCTTCATCTTCTTACTAACATAGTGGCAGTCTTCTGACTGGCTTAGGAGCCATGGTGTTACTTGGAGACATGCTCTGAAAAGAGAGACGTAGATAGGTGTTAGTCTGAAATCAAGTAGAAGGCAGGATAGATTTGCACCTTATACTAACCAAAGTGTGTGCGCGCGCACGCACATGCATGCATGCATGCATGCATATATATATATAAAAATAATATAATATAACACAAGCCTTCTTGAGCTGAAGCTAACTTCTTCAGATGTTGAGAAGAGCCACAGTTAGGTTAAGTTGAAGATACAAGTGTATCTTCACAACTATGATCAAAGTACCACTGCAACTAATTCATTGCCCTGGTTCTCTGCTGAGCTTACAGTATGTGTTGGTCATCCTCTGTAGAGCATGGTTAGCAGCCTGTGTGGACTTTTAGCTATACATATTTGCTGATATTTCTGTAGTTCCTTAACCTGGATTTTCAGGGAATTGGAGGCTTCAGACAAATGCTAAAGGACAGCAACCTCTCTTTCACTAGTACTCCACATGGATCTGGTGACTAGACCAGTGCGACGGATGCTTTCTCTCCCTCCATTTCACATACCCAAAGCTTCCACACTTTCAAAAACATGACAGTAGAGACTCCTCATGTGCACTGGAGATGATGAAAAACTGAACTTTTTAACAGACCTGGAACAGTATTAGTGTCTGTCCCCAGCAACAACCTGCGTGTTTCAAGGTGTCTCAGTCTGGTATGAAACCTCTCACTAGAGCAGCAGCTGAGTGTGTTCAGTTATGCCACAATTCCCTGCTTGTAGTTGCAGCTGAAGTTCACCAGGTGGTGCAAGAAAGACATGAAAGTATGCACTCCTTGGTAGCTAAGATGCTGTCAGTGGCACAGTGTCTCGCTCCCTGGCAGAGGTGTAACAAGGTAGCTGCCATCCGGGACAGCGGGACTCCTGGAGGCTGTGGCAACTTCTGGCTGTTGCTGTGCCACTGGCAGAATTGCACAGCTGTGATTGCAATTGTTATTTTTCAGCATCCCCCTTCCATCCCTCCCTCTGTCTGCACCTAGGACTGCTGTCCCAGTTGCCCCACCTTAGTTGTGCTACTGGTCCCTAGATTTGTGATGGACATATGGATACCCCTGAGTAACCAAAATGACCATGCTTCTCCTGCTTGATCCTTAAAATAAATCAATCACTTGTGCAGGGTAAAGAGCACTTGAAATTGTAGAAATCTTCCAGTTAAAACCTAGAACAGAGAGATCCTGATTCTGCTGTTTAACTGTAGGCTTCCAGAGGGATCTCTGAAAATCACTGAACTCTTTGTGCCTCAGTTACCCTATATGTAAAATGAGCATAATTCTTCGTTCACCTCAGTGGCGTAGCAAGATTTGATTAATATTTTGAGTCTCAGTGGTGCTTCAAGCCTCTGGTGTGTATAGACTGCATGGCATGAAAAAGGGCTTGAGAGTTTGATATGGTCTCTAGGGTTAAGTAACTTTGAAAATGAACAAAAAAGAAAGTACTTGGGTTTTTGCTAAAAGTTGGCTTACATAGCATTTGGCAAAGGGACATCATGGTTTGTGACAACTGGGTTTTTCTGCGAAGTCAGGATTTGTCACATACTGAAGAGTAGGAATTTTCTGAGACTGTTCAGCTAGCTTAGGGGTATCCCTGAAGTGACTGAATAGCTTCATCCATGAAGACCAAGATCTTTGCTGCAGCTGGTGTTGTTTTGGGTACAACCAGAATCTGCATGAAACAGTTCCAAAAGGGTTCAGGAGCCGTGAGCCATCTAAACAGTTCCATGACTAGTAGGCTTCTCTTTGAAATAATGGTTGCTGCTGGCTCATTAGAGCTCTGTGAAACTGCTCAGCTGGTTAAGGAGTGCAGTTTTTGAACCAGCTGAGAAGCTTTACAGTGACCCAGCGTCATCTGAAGTTAGCTGTTGGCTTGTGAACATCACGAGCTCTACGAGATTGTTTAGACACAGAGCTCCTACACTGGATGAATACTTTCATCTTTGACAATGTGACAGCTTGCGTGTCAGTGATGTTTGTGAAAATGTTCGAACTGGGGGCAACTTATCAATTATCTTCAAAACCATGGTTGCTGAATGTTCTCTCCTTCAACTGTTGTCGATTCTAAGAGGGCCAGTTGGCTGGACACTTCATGTGTAATCTGGTTCTTTGTGAAAATAGTCTTTGTTTGAGTTGACAATCTGTCTTAACCAAAAAATTTGACACGAGCACCACAAAAAGAGTTCTGCACCAGTAGGAATGTCAGTCTTCTCCAGATATGAGGGAGTGTGATTTTTCCAGAACTGGGAAGAACAGCTAGTAGGGGGGATGCTGGATCAGGGACAGAGGAGAACTAGAGTAATGATTCTGTAGGGGGGAAATGGTTAGAAAGCATGCCTTCTTATGGTACTAGGTTCTGTGGTTTTGCATCTCAGGGTGCAGGAGTAAAAGGTATGTTCAATGCCTTAGCTTTTTGTTTCCTGGCCTTTGCATGAGACAGAGGTTCCCAAACTTTTTCTTATTGTATACCTCCTTCCAGATTTACCAGCTGCCCACATACCTGTACCAGCATGTGTGTTATATTTTAACTCCTTAAATGCCAAAGATTATTATGTTGCAAATTAAGTAATCCGGCATTACTTAATTTCTGCTGTGTACCCCCCAGAGATGTTTTGTGTATTCCCAGGGGTATGTGTACTACAGTTTGGGAACACCTGGTGTAAGGTAAGTTTTGGTTTTTTTTAGAGAGAGAATAACCATAACAACACAATCTGGCCTAGAGAATAAAGCACTGGATTGAGACTTGAGACCTAGGTTACCTTCCCAGTTCTGTCACTAGCCCGTTGGGCAACCTTGTCCAAGTTGCATCATCTCCCTGAGCCTCCATTTCCATAGATGTAATATATGTATAATGATTCTGATCTGCTTCATAGAGTACATTGAGATTAATGATAGAAACCTATGTAAAAGCTAGGTAATGGCTTCACAATTAAACTGTATAATGAGCTATGAAGCAATCTGCACAGATTTTTATGTTTTATGTTTGTTTGTTTTTGTATAGCTGATTTGATACTAAAATGATATATTAATACATCAAGGCTTGCTGATTTCATGGATCTTTCTTGCCATGTTGTAGTCCTACTTCCAATGTAGGATGACTGTTTCTGCGTGATTTATTTATTTAAGGTCACTGGTATGTCCCTAACTAATTCCATATGATTCTCTTTTTTATGTAGGGACAGAAGATTCCTTTGGCAGCCTGAAGCTTCTCGGTAGATTATCACTTCTAACAGCACAAGATTTATGGACTGTTAATGGTCTTCCTAATGAAAATAACTCTTCTGATCATCTGCCTTTACTAGCAAAGTTCAGGCTCATTGAACAATGAAACAAAGTATTTTTATATATGAACTTCCCTTTTCCTCCACCTTCCTGAAATATTTTTAAATTTGTGGACTGGAAGCCTGTTTACATTTTATTTTGCCTGCATGCTGAGTTCTTAGTGCTTTGTAAATTAGAATTTTTAAAGAAACTTTTGAAAAGTGGTTTAAATTTACTTTATGAAGACTTTTTAAGACACAGAAATAAGTTTACATAGCTTTCTCTTTTTGATAAAGACAGACATCACCAGCCTGAAAATGGCATTATTTTTCACAGAAAGGATGTAAATATTTTTATTGTATATTATAGTAAAATTGATGCTGCTTTGTACAAACATTGTACTTTGTTTGGGGGTGTAACTATTTTCATAATCAGCTGAAAGTAGCTTTGGAGGTGCTTTCATACTGCTTCTGTTGTCTCTCCCAAATTATATACCTTTTGGGTTCAATTTCAGGAGTCCCTCAGCGCAGAAGTTTATCTAGTAAAGTGGTTGCAGGACTGGGTCTTTATTAGGAAAGTTGTCCTTGCAGTATGGAAATTAATTGTGTTCTAAAAAAGTAATTGCAAGTTTAAACACTGTGCAAGAGTCCACTAGACTTTATCAGTATTCAAAGCTTTAAAACCATCCAAAATAAAAGCAAATATCTAACATGACATGTAAGTACAGGACAGTATAGTTGGGAAAGACTAAATTCACTTTCTCTTTGAAAGCTGTTTAAAAATCAAAAAAATTATCAGAATGCTTGACTTACTGTGATTTCTTGAATGTTTGCCAAATACATGAGAGACTATTTTTCACTTGCTCATGATTTAAAATAATGTATCAATACTGCAGCTTCAGTATATTCAACATTAAAAGATTCCCTTGTGTTTTCCATTTCCTATTACAATATGACACTGTATATATACTATGCAAAATATCTAGGGCTGACCAGTAAACCAAAATTTGCTACCTCATTAACGGTAACCTTTTTGACATGGGGAGAAGCGCTGGAATTGCTGTGACTTTGTCATATTATTTATGATTCTCTCTATGCAGCTGTTAGCTGCAAGATGCAATTGCTGTCTTGCTGTTGTGCCACTAGAAAAACTTATTCTAGGCTTTCTGAACATTCATCTTGATTTCCCACCCCCACTATTTAATTTGCAGAATCACCAACATATAATGATCTTACCTTTATATTCTGAAAAGAAAGCAAAACATTATTTTTGCCCTTGGGGAATATGGTGCCAATGACAGTCCAGGTGATTGAACTAGCACTTCAATTTAATATTTTTAGGATTAGATTTTCATTTTGGCTTGAGTCTCTTTTTTTTTATCGCTTTGCTAGATTGTGATTGAAGGATCCATCTGCACACTGAACTAATCCATCTGTCTCTACATGCTAACAACAATCCAGTCAATGAATGCTGAACACTAAAGTTCAATACTAAGTAATTAGCTTTAAAAATATTCAGATGCAGAAATTTCTCGGGGTGTAGTGCACATGCAGTAGCTTGTTTTTTTTTTTTTGTCAGCATGCCCTACAAACACCAGGCATCAGAGAAATTTCTAAATGGCTATCTTAGAACTTGTCCATGTAGCACACAAGCTTTGTAGGCCAGTGACTTATGCAGAAGTAAGGGTGGGTAGTAACAGAAGGTGTTGAAGCACTGTCCAGCTGAGGGAGCAGGTTGCAGTAGCTGCCATCTGAGATTTATGCACTTGCAGAGGTCGGAACTCTCTCGGTGGAGCAAAAGAAACCCTGATACCTGCAGTATTTTTTTTTAACAAGCATCCCCTTTCTGTCCTGTAAGACAGAATTTGGCCCCTGCTGCTGCCTGCTCTGTTCTACACAAGGAGCTGCAAAGGTTATCAAATGATCCCATAATTTCACACTACAACAGTTCCCTCCTAACCTCAAACTTAAATGCTGTTATTCTGCTGTCTGTACTGGAAGGGAAAGAGGTTCTTACTGCATAAATGAGGTGTAATGTGCCATGAGTACAGGGTTGTTTTTCTAAGAGTCTAGCTATAAGCTCATTGATTATGATGCTCTGACTATATGGGACTTAGTCTGTTAGAAAACTTAGGGAAAAAAACATACCTCAGCTTGCTCGCTATGCTATGGCCTGTTCTTTTGCTGCCAAGACAAATCCAGCAAACAAACAGCAGTGCTCAATGTCTGCAGAGGCTGCCCAAAGAATAGTGAAGAAATGTGTACTAGCCCGTCCAGCTGACAGTACTCAATACTTGAATACAGGAGCTTTGAATTTCAAAGATTTGTTTTCTGGCTCAGATCAAATTATTCTGTTTTTAGTTGATTGTTTTATTTTTTCAAATGCTCCAGTATGGCTTTTTAAAGGGGCATTACAAAAGCTGCCAGTTTTAAGTGAGCAAAAAATGAATGGATTCTGTTGTCTTCAACAAAGTAAAAGTTACCCAAATTGTATGTAACCTCTTCCTTCCATAGAACAGTGTGAGGTGGTTGTAATAATCAGCAGAAGTGCTTCATTCTTATCACTTGAGGTAAGTACACATATTTGAATATGTAGTAACCAAACTTGTTTGCATCCATAATCACTGCTGGCAATTAAGGTATCTAAAAAGCAACTTAAGCTTCTCCTTCCCTCTCCCCAACATGTATCTCCCTTCATTTTTCCGTAAAGAATTAGCACATACAGAAGTAGGATGGTTCATGATCATTGGCGTGTCCATCAGGAACCAAGTTGGTTGATTAGGTGGATCAGGGTATTCTAATCTTGGGAATCCAATGTGTAGTTGTGCTGCTGTTAGGACCAAACAATATTGCAGAAGTCAAGAAGGCTTAGTCCCATCTCTCGCAGTATCAGAATGCCTTGTGTTCAAAGCATTTGTGGTGTGTTGGAACCACATATCCCTATTATGCAGCTGGAATCGTAGAGCGTACAGCACAGGCCCTTTTTGTGTCCTTATTGAATAGTGCTAAAGTATACGGGTGGAAGCACGAAGTTCTGACTCTAAACATGTACCACGTGTCTTAGACCTTGTCTGTACATCAGAGGTTTGTAGGCCAGTAACTTATATAGAAACAAGGGTGAGTGTTAGCAGATGGGGTTACGTTCTTTAAAGCTCTTTGTTTGTTTGTAGAAACTGCCTTTACACAGCAGTGTTTTAATAAGAATGTGTCCTGCCTAGAGAGAACAAAGATTCCCATTGAATCTGGAAGCTTTCCTTCAGCACAGTCAAGTGTTTCTGTTTTGTTGATCCAAATGTTTACAGGTTATGTTCTTATGAAACTTACTTGAATCTATTTATTTTAACAAATTGGGTTGGCAGAAAAGAGTTCTGCCACCTTGCAAACAAGATGATGTGACCTGAAAAGCGTAACCTGGTTAACCAGCTAAGCAACGGGAGGAAAACTACCATGGTCTATGGCTTCCAGCTACATGCTTTACAGCTCTTGGGAGCTCAGACTACAGACCATAGAATTGAAATACCAACAGGGACCCAGCTTGTATTTTAATGACTGCCATGGCTCTTGCATTAAAAACTACAGTCTATTAATGGTATAATGTTGCAGCATGTGCATTTCTATGTTTGTGTTATTATCATATGCACAGCATGGTGCATTGTAACAATAGGGCTTGGGAGTAAAAGTTTATGTCTTCCTGACCATTCCTAATCATCTTGAGTTGGAGGAGGGGGTGAGATATTTACTTCTGCTGGAAAGGTGAGTGCCTTCTAATACCACACAATTTTTCTTATTCAACTCTCCCTCCCTCGTGGCCTTGTAGCATGTAGGGCCAATATGAACTGTAGTCAAGGCCCTGAAAAACTACCCAGAAATGTTTCCTTAAACTTTGAGGTTACACATACTCCAGACTTTGCATTTGGTACTGCAGCTGAATAACTGCGCAGTCCCTGCGGTGGAGTTGTTTTTAGACTCTGCTTCTCATGCTTCTAGACATAGCGTCTCATGTAGACACACCCACTGTGTGCTGAATGTAAACCCAAACTCCCAGTCTTTGGAAGCTTATACTACCCCTCAAAGCTCACACAAGGATTTACAGGCCATAATAAAACTGTTGTTCATGGAGTTCAAAGGAAATGGAAAACATTCATTTGGAAAGACAACTGGTGGCCTGTGTTCTTATCTTCCCAGCCCCTCAAGCATAACCTTGAGCTAGCTGAAAAAGTACTTCTGTGATGCTACAAGATAATGAAACCTAGCCAAGGATTGAAATATTTAATGCTAACTAGTTGGCATCTTATCACAGTTCTGAAAGATGAAACATACGAAGACAAACATTTTAAACAGGCAAATGTTGTTTGGACCAAATTTTCAAGCCAAGAGCTGCCTGGCACAGATAGGACTGCAAAGAATAATCCAAGTACAGGCTCCAAAGCTTGTATAGAACTTTTAGTTCTTATCACATTTAAATGCCTGTTTCACCACTGTCTCAAAGGAAAACACCTGCCTCAAGGACAGTCCATCTCTATAGGGCTCAGCTCTAAAAATGAGGGCACTAATGCATTTGTTCAGCACAGGCTATTGATAAAGGACCTCTAACGTCCCTCGCTTCTTGGAAAAGGCAACCCTCTGCCTAACAGAACTTCCTTTGGTGTACGGACAGTACTTCAAAGACTTTACTCTCAGTGCAAAGCAGCAGCTGCTAGTCATAATGCAGCACTTAGTACTGCTGATTCTTTGGTACTTACTGAGATGTATGGCAAGACATCCAAGACTACTATCTTCAGCTTTTCTCATCAGGCACCATCAACAGTAAAACAAGAACCCACCATATAGTTAAGGCTTAAGTGTTTAGACTAATATATGTTAGTTGCCTTCAACTTATTTCATATTGTAAGATCTTAGAAAAATATCCTATTTTATTGCATTCCCTTGATTTAGAGGTTATAGAAGAATAAATGATTTAAAAATAAATGTTACAACAGTATTACATGACTGACTGAGTTATGGTAATATGTTGCCAAACAAACTGAAAAGAGATCATTTAAAAAGACTTCCAAGACATTTTATTAAAGTTTCATGCTTCATATAAATGTACAAGTGATGAGAAAAGCAAAAAGCAGAGCCCCCATGCACGTGTATTCTACAATATCATTTGACGTTTGCAATGAGCTAGAAAAATAGTCACTAGAATCACAGTTATGAGTCAACAGAAATGCAATTGTAAGAGCAAACAGCAAGAAGATGAATATTTGAACTTCAAAACCAAAAAGTACAAAATAGCTTGTCACATAGCTCTACAGTTTATAAAAGCTTCAGTGTAAGTTAGGGTCAAAAAGATGCAACTCAAAAATGTTCTGAATACTGGTAAAAACCATTCAGTTGTTATTAAATGGCAAGAGGTATAAAGTTAGGGTAGCTGTGAAAAAAAAAAGCTTGAATAGTTTAAAATTGGGTGTAACCTAATGAAAAAAAATACAGTTAAAGGCCAGAGTTCTGTTCCTTTGCGAGTCTAACTTTCAGAATCTAGACACCTATTGTGTAAGCTGATCTCTGTTTTGCAGAATCACAACCTATGAAGAAGCATTTATTGCTTTAGAACCCAAATTTGAACCTGGTTGGAATTTAAACCAGAAGACATGATTTTTTTTAACTTTCTACCTCAGCTCTACTCCCCAAACTCTATTCTTAAAAACTTAAAGGGAATAAGAGCTGACGCTTGCAAACAAAGCCTGAGGGGCCCTCTCTACAACTTAAGTTATCCTGAAAATTCAGTTATGCCATCATCCCTAGTGCTGACCTTTAGAGGAGGGAGAGAAGATAAGACATGATCCAAATAAAAGCTGGAGAGGTGCGGAGTAAATGTTACCAGCCAGTTGGTTTTGTGGGAAGAGGGAAAGTCTTGCACTGAGCTTTGTACAAGCCTGTAGTGAACTACATTCAATTAAAAAAAAAAAATCCATTAAAAAAAGGCCTTTTTCTTTTGTTCTTTTTCATCTATAAGCAACCAGACATCAGATCAGTACATCACAATGTTTACTCACCACCACACCTGTGGTAGTGACTCTTTAACATGACAATAAATCAGCTGGCCTGCTGCTACTTTTCAATTCAATTACTTTTTAAGAAACTACAACATACCTCACTCTACTAGTATCTTAGGGCCCAATTTCACGGGGTATATGGCTATGGAAGACTCATTTCTACTGAGCAGAGTGAGGAGTAAAGTTTCTTTCATCTGTTTTCATACATGAAAATTGCTACACCAACTGCAAGGAGAATCAGGGCCTAACTTTGGGGAACCAACTTTTTAACAGTCAAATTTTTTTTAATAAAGCAGAGCCTCCCATTGTGGACTCTAAATGAATAGCTATAAAGCTTGCTATATTGCAAGTTAAGTTGCCTAATGACTTGTCATATATACAACTGAAATTAACCTGGATGTTGTATGCGCGCATGGAGATGGGAGAAAGGAAGTTACTAATTAAAGCAATACACCCCAAGTTCATTTGCATTTCTTTCTGCTGTGGTTTCAGCATCTAATGGCAGTGAACGGAAGATGTATTAATGTTTGGAACAGGATAACTTCTATTCCATATTGTTTTCCTAGTCTACTAGTTCTTCACAGTCAGCTATTCTGTGCAGCTTGAAGTGTTTGCTAAAATATCTTTACAGCCGGGGCCTGGTTTTCCTCATGTTCTATATCCTTTTTACCTATATCCGTTTCATTCATCTGCTGATTCAGCTAGTGTTCCAGAAGCCCAAATCCCTTCATTCACTAAGATTTTGTCCACCTCTCCCTCCTCCAAGAATCAAAGAGAGGTAATAGTTCAGTATGTTTTTTCAATGATATACAAGGCATATGTTGGGCTTTCAAAAGAGATCTGCTTCTACTTAGATACCTGCTGAATTAGCTATATTTCCAAGTACTCCAAACCAACAGCTCCTAAGAGAGTTCAGCGAGAACTGCAGAGGTCTGAGCACTTCAGACAATTTAAACCCCTTCAATTCGGTCCCTCAAAGAGAGAGAAGTTCTCTTGATGATCTGGCCACATGCTCTTAGCAGTAGTTTTCAATGGGAAGACACAAGAGGAAAGAACTTGATTTTCAGATATAGTTTGTTAAAAAATATTATCTAATTTTATTGCTGAATTTACCCAACAAGAATTTCCTTCCCAACACTCTGTACAGGTATGTCACTATGATCCCTAGCAAGGAAAATCTTTCTGAAAAACTGGTGGCAGCATTACTTCCTCAGTGATCTCTCACCATAAGACATCACCACCTTGGACTACTCAACCTTTCAGACACATGATTAGAAAATTACATGTGAAAAAAATTACAAAAGCAAAAAGTAAACACTTGAGCAAAAGCTCTGGACTCTGACATTTCTCTGTTATTCTGAGAATGTACACCAAACAGTTTGTCTCTACAATGCAGACACTTGTCTCTACAAAACAATGATCTCCATGCCTTGTGCTTTAAACACTGTAGTCTGGAAAGTTTAAAAGCTTGTGACAAAGTATAAAAAAAACTTATGAAAATTTTAAAAATCCATTATTGGTCAGTTATCAGCATTTTAAAAAAGCAACAAAAACCTCAAACAGTTTTTCCATATCTCTAAGATTATGTCAGTGCTTTTAAGAAGACACTTGCATATAAACATACCTTAAATTCTTTCGTAGGCATGCACATAATAGGGTGGCAGGGTGCCATCTAATGCCATAATAAGTCTACCAAAAATGCTGGGAAACAGTACAAAGGAGTTACAAAATAATACTGTCAATCTTGCATATCTGTTGTAAGTTTAGTGAGGTAATGTTGACACTTAAAAACTCACATCCACCTCTGCACTGCTAGTTTATTGCTGAATTAACTATCAATATTGGACTTGATTTTTTTTAATACTGCACCCCAGCACATTTTAACACAATGAGGAGTATGATTTAATTACCACTCCTAATACTACCAATGTAGCACAAATGTTCAAAGCCAGTTAAAAAAAAAAGAGAGAGAAACAATTATTTCAAATTTTAAAAAACCCTCGAGCACAATAGTTCTCTCCTATTTGATGGGGAGGAATAAAAGTAATTAAATTTTTCATTGATGCCACTTCATGAATTAAAAAAAATAAGTTACCACCACCTTCATTCTAGAATTCCTATTTCCTCGGTGAGACTTAAAAAAAAAAAAAAAAAAATCCAGAAGATCTTAATAAATAGTCCTTTTTCCTTCCAGTGGGGCGCAGAGCAAAGTGCAGTGAGAAGCACCATGGAAGCCCTCTCTCTGGCCTATGGCTTTGTTAGATGCGCAGTTGATAGCCGACATCATTCAGCGTAGTGAGGTCACCCCCTTTCTTGTCCATCACTGCAGGCCTGCACCAGAAGAGGGAAAAGAAGGCATCATTCAACATTTCTTGGATCTGCTGTAATGAACAACCCCTTTGCAAACCCAGACACAGTTCATTATTAAAAGGAAACTAATAGAACAAGGCTTCTCATCACTTAATCCAGGCATAGTGTTAAACAAATGGCCACGTTATCAATTTGACTGTGTGCGCAGATATGTCTGTTGCAGGCTAACCTCACCTCACCTGACCATCCTCAAAGCCCTATGCCCATACTTGTTTCCTTATAAGTCTTGGGGACAGGTTAGGGTGGCCGTCGTAGACACTGGTGACGTGCAAGGGGTGCACGTGCACCCCCCGAGCTTGGCGGTGCACCCCCTGCAAAAAGCGCCGCCAACACTGCCAGCAGCACCTATGGGCGGTGGCCACTCGCCACTGCTGCCCCTCCCCCACCCCCGACAGCCAAAGGTGCCTGCAAGAGGTTCCCAATCGCTGCTGACTGCCACCAACAACATCTACAAGTGGTTGCCTCCCCCTGCCAACAGCGCCACGGCCGCCTGCAGGAGCTCACCGCTTGCCACCGCCACCACCTGCAGGAGCTCACCGTGCCCCCCCAGCCCCCAGGGGCACGTGGCATTCATGATCATAGAGGACATTCCAGTTTTCTGCTACTCTGTCCTGTCTTGATACAAAACCCAATGCCTTTATGTCCTCTATTTTTCTCTTCAAGACACAGAGCAGACTCGGTTTTTCTTGAAGAGAAAAATAGAGGACATAAAGATATCCGGTTTTGTATCAAGATAGGACAGAGGACAACCAGACTGTCCTCTATGATGGCCACCCTAGGACAGGTTAATGCACAAGTTCTCTTTAAGCGGAGCTTCAGTCTCCTGTCTTTGCATCCAGTGCATGGCTAAAGCCTGGGTAGCAGAGCTCAGGTTGTGATAATCCACCAGCACCATCCTACTTTCCCTTGGACCTGCATTTTATGTCTGTTCGGCTTCCTGTGAGCCAACTGCAGCTATACCTATAAGCTAGCAGAGTTATCATTTAACCCTTTCCCTGCACACAGTTGTTGTCATCATGAGCTCAGTCCAACCAAACAGCCTTAAAAGTCATCCTCTGGCCAGCAGGCAGCATCAACAGTTCTGCTTAACCTGCCATGTAACTACAGCATGCAACTACATGGGCTGCAGCACCACCTCCCCAGAGCAGATACCAGGACACCAATGGAAGATGAATCCTTGTCTGAAGGCCCACATACTGCTTCTACTTCCCCAGCCTTCAGAGAGGATCCCCACAGTGGTTGCCACAGGCAGGTGGTGAGCTACCTTTCCTATAAAGCAGTGATTCTCAACCTGGTACTGCAGCACCCTGGGATGCCTTTCAAGGGTGCCATGCAATATGAGCACTGTTGTGTGCAAACACCTACATGATTCACAAGAAAAAACCAAAGGGCATTTTTATATATATAAGCACCCTGTAACACTTGCAGTTGTACAAGTGGCAAAATGTGTGTCAGCACTAAGAAATGGCAGTGGCACACATTGGAGGTGCCTTAGCTCAAAAGCGCACCACTGCCATTTTCTGTGCACTAACATGCATTTCGCCACTTACACTACTGCATGCAGCACAGTGCAGTTCGTCTCAGCTCGCAGGCAAAGCAGACTCGATTAATTAGTCTAGGAAGCAGCATATCTCCACCGCATTGCAGGACAGAAAAGTACGTGTATAAATGCCCAAAGGTTTCAAATAGCAGGCCACTGTGTCAAAAACATTCTGACTTGCTGGAGCCCCCACTCTCTGCAGCGGAAGAATTGCTGTCTTATTTTCCATCGTCAAAAAACTAATGAAAGCTAGGACCTGGCATTTTCCGAGGCGGTGCCTTGAGTTGAATGAGGTCAACAACCACTATTCTAAAGGCCCAGAGCAGCTAAAAGGACCATACTCATCCTGCTGTGGGCACTCCTGCTTAATGATCCCAGCACTCAGGACTCCCTGTCCCAGGCTGAGGGTAAAGCATGGAAGCACCAACATGAAGGCATTAGAGCCCTGTTCTCACTCAGGTGGGAAGCAGCTCACCCATAACAGTCTCTTCTATGTGGATTACAGGGATACAGTCAGGTCCAATGTTTGCAAAGCACAGTGTGCATCAGCAGTATTGTATAATTATAGGAACAGCCCAGATCATCTTGGCCCAATAAATGCTCATCAGGCTGTACCTCCTGTTGGAACTGCCATTAAAAATGTCAGCAGCTGCCATTATACAGGTGCTGAGTTCAGACCAATCATGAAACATTGTCAGGTATTTTTAAATACCACTTCAAAAGTCTCCATACATGTGCTAGTAAGGAACACAAATCTCTAGCCTTCTAAAGCAGCAGTTTTCCTTTCAACATCCAAACATAGCCAGAAACAGAAATGCACTATTACTGCCCTCACAGAACATGCATTCAACTTCATTTACTTGTGGAGAAGAAAACAGACCTTGTCAACTGACATTTAGCAGCCAAAGCTGCTTCAGGCTTGCATTACATTACATCCTTGTTCCAAACTAGCCCTGATATTTAAAAAAAA